CTATATTAGTTTAAAATATAACATTTTAGTTAAATTCAAGTTTGTATGCGATTACAAAGGGATGTTACGATGAACTTTGTTAAAACATGGCAAACATAAGTGTGGTTTATCCACACAACTATCGCAGAATGTTACAACTTTTACAGCACTATAGAACTATAAATCAATCCCAGCTTCAGTGAAGCAGTAAGTATTGTGTCAACGACGCGCGAATAAATGACTGATCGGAATAAGAGAAATGCAGTTAAAACAAGTTACAGTAAAGAAAAATTGCCCATCACGCCGCGTGGGGCGTATACGCCCCACGATTAAATGAGGGCATCAGCAATAGTATTAAGATGTCCATAATTGACTGCATAATGAATTTTTAAAAAATTCTTCATTTTACAATGATAATACCAAATGGCTTGAACGGAAAGTTCAGCGTGGGGCGTATACGCCCCACGCGGCAGGGAACGTGTTAAGATAAGTCTGAATATTGTAAATCGATGCGAAGACAAAAGAACTGTGAAACAATGCATATGAAGACGATTATTTGATTCAAACGATGACCGAGTGAGCTATTAGAGTGAGCCACTATAGTGGCGCGTCGTTCAGAGAAATGACATCCGCGAAAGCCACTATAGTGGCGCGTCGTTCAGAGAGATGACATCAGCGGAAGTCACTATAGTGACGCGTCGTGCCTAAATGGTTAAACACGGTTTGTGGAATTATTTTTGCAGAGATCGATCGAGATTTTGAAATGTGAGTTTGGTAGTTGCATTGGGGAAGGCTATAGCTTCGTTGTAATATTTTTTTTGGTGCGAATAGTTTCACCCTTTGCACTCGGAACAGATTTCGCAAACATTGTGATTTCGTTGTACAGAGTTTTTTTCTACTAAAAACGTAAAAATATTTCACGACACATAGCCCCAAGTTATGGCTTGGATTTTGTATCAAATACAATCGACACCTACAATGTTACGATAGTATAAAATTTCCTAGCGGACCAAAATTTTCCGCGACGATAGAAATATTACAACACATATAGTACTGTGCACTATAGCGCTGTGCAAGAAGTACATATTCCGTGCAAGTAATTTTAGTATTGTACAACTCGGGAAAAACGCGCTCGGATCGGTCGTCAAAGCCTCGCGTAACGGACGAACCTAATTCCCCGGGGATTCCACGCTTCAATTTCACGACGAACACGCTCCGAGCGTTCTGGCTCGAGGACACGGAATCGCAAAGGCGTACTGAATGCAGGAAAAGCGTATCACGATCCGCATTCAGTTATGACACGTGGGTGGTTCGCGTAAGTATGCAGCGTTTCTCACGCGGCTCCAGTGGCACCCCTCTCCCCCTCCCCCAACTCTCCTCGATCCCTTTCATATATACAGCAATCATGCTTCCACTTCACAGTGGCGTATCCACTGGCCACAATACTACTCTTTGTACGCGTGCTCGTGATTGCTTTAATCCGACCCGTACCTTTCACGTCAGTTTCGTTTGTCAGATGTCAAACGAGTACGCGACTATCAGTCTGCAGTATCCCCCCTTTTTTCCTTCGATTCTTATGCGACGAATGAAAACGCGCGTTCAACAGAAGATGTTCAAATTTTTCTGCTAAATAAACTCGATGCAATGGAAATAAATTCGAATTCAGCAGAAGTGTTGTTCAATTCTACCGAATGTAAGTACTTATATTGTGAAGACCTGCAGTTTGTTTGTAAATAATTGTTCTTCAAGTATTTATTGGCAACGATATCGAATTCTGTTGAATGAGTAATTTATAAGTAATTGTTTTTTTAAATATTTACTGCCTGAGAAAGTTGCTACAGCAAATGACGAAGGAAACAGATACGTCGATAAATCGACACGTTTGGTACTATTGGATTGTTGCAAGAGTGATTTCGATTTTCCAAATAAATAATTTACAGAAAAACCGAAATTACTTATTATCTTGCAACAATCCAATATTTACTAGATTACAAAGAGTTTATTCATTACTGTAGTATCCATTACAGTGGTTTCTCCCGGAAATGCCAAATTTCGGGTTGCCGTGAATTTCCCTGTGCTAGTGCTACGCCAATGTAATTTATTACAACGTCACTGCTAAGGTTCGACGCAACACGAATTCCCGGAAGACAACACAAAACAGTCTCTTGTGACAAATCTCCATCGGAATCGTGGCTATGACCTCCGAATTGCCTACGAATCGTGGCAAAAAATTAGAAATAAACAAGATAAGTCATCGTTTTTTTATTATAGCATTATTACGTACACATGTTCATATTAATGTACACCGGCAAGCCGGCCTCTGCCTTTTCTTGCCGACTGCCCGGAGTTTCTATAAAAACGAGCCGCGAGGTTCGAAGAATCGCGTCCGAGTTTCTGGCGATTGCCGTTTCCAATTCCGAGCTCCGGGCCTACTAGGGAGAATTTGCTGTAGTCAGGGGCAAGAAAATAAATCAATTTACGAAATAAGGAACTACGATGCCTGCGTAATTGCTATCGCTCGAGGAAGAAGAGTGAAATCGCTCGAGGAAGAAATGGTGTAAAATTGCTGAGAAAAATTGCTATAAAATGTTCCGAATCGTTCTGACACCAGCGAATGCCAAGGCGGTGGAATGCAGAAAGCGGAAGCCGGCGCGAAGCCAGAAGTCGGTGTCACGCAACAAATTTACTTTCTGTCCGAAGAAGCGAGGATTCCGTGCTTCTTCAGGGACTCGTTAAAATCTCTCGCGGCGAATGCATCACCGGCGGGATAGCAGAAGCAAAGAAAGAAAGAGAGAGAGAGAGAGAGAGAGAGAGAGAGAGAGAGAGAGAGAGAGAGAGAGAGAGAGAGAGAAAGAGAGAGAGAGAGACAAAGGTTGCGCGAGTAAAATCGGAATTCCCCGTTAAGACAGGGACGATTTCCACGGGCTCCGGTGACGGGGAAAAGGATCGTTCCCTCAATTAACCCCGTGACTTTTCGCGGTGGCCGTCGAACGGGCCGCAATAATCCTCTGACACGTGGATTTACAATTCGATCGTAACTGTCGGTGGTTCCCTACGCCACTGCCCACTCTCGAAGAAGAAGACCCATGCATTAGCAGCATTGTAAAGCTAGAGCTCTGGTGGAAGCGGCGCGTTCGGTATCGCGACAGCTCATCGTGTGTATACCTAAAACCACAGCCGCGACCTGGGTGGGCAAAGGTTGTCGAGCAAAGACCTCGTCACGACTAACCGTTTCCTTAGAACGTCCGCTAGAATGCTGCATCGTCCTCCTTCGGATCTCTTTCCTTCTTATCCTCGTCTTTCGAGCCGTCCGACTGCGCCACGATTCGTGGACCTAC